CATTTTAGATACATATATCGCATCGTTTTAACATAAATTTATTGAGTTGAAGTTCTTCATACACAACAATAATATCCTAAGTTTCGAGTGCACGATCAGCTAAAGTAGTTGATTTGTCAGGTTTACTTTCCTGAAGGAACTTTCTGGCAATATATTCCAACAAATTACATAAATTTTAAATTGTATTGCTAGCAAGTATTTGGATAAACAACTTCAATAATAGAATCTTCTCGTAAAGGCAACTTTTAGTGAAAAGTATTTGTGGAACATTTGGATTTTTCTAGATAAAAAAAAAAAAAAAACTTTTGGGTGTTTCATTCCCACCAGCCAGTAATGCTGGTGGGCGGGCAGTCCCTCCGGACTATGCCGGAAGGTAGGGCGGAAGGCCCTCTTCAGCCTGCTTTCAGGAATCGTGGGAATGGGTGGGTGGTGGTTCGTGTGTGAAAGTTGAGACGGACGAAATTAAGACAGAAGAGAGTGAAAGATTATCTGTGGAAAATTACTGCCTCAGCATTTGCCTAAGTGATCCAAGGAAACCACAGAAAAACTTGGACCAAGGCAGACGAACGGACGGACCCGGAATCGAGCCGGCGTCCTCCCGAATGCTAAGCAATTGTCTAGACCTCTAGGCCATGCCGCTCGGTTTTTTCTAGATACATCTCACACCTTATAGGGTGGTCACTCCTAAGACCTCCACTCTTTTCTATTCTAACTTAATCTTCAAATTTCTAGAACAATCTAAACTAGGCCCGTGTGTACCCCTATTAACTGTTTCTAACTCTAATATATCTCAACTAACGAAATGAAATGTTTACCTGAAATTCCTGCATACATAACGTCTAAAATCTTTTGGCCAACGACGAAAATTGTACATTAAATTATAAAAAGTTTATTTAAAGGAAGCACCATGTATACAAACAATGGGCAAAACAAAATTTTTTCAATTGCTAATGAAAGAGAAAGGACTCATTAAAAATGTTTGCGTTTTACAGGAAACATCTAATAATACTGGTTTTCTTTGGTTTCTTAAGAAAAACATTGAATTTTTTACACATCCGACTTTTACAACACATCAGGACACACCTACGTATTTTCGTTTCTTCATATTCGACTTTTTCTTCTTCCTTCCTGTAAGCACCCACGAGCGTAAGTAATAGGTGGCAAACACAATTTAATGGAACATGGAGAGTATATAAAAATGAAACCAAAAGAATTTGCTGGGACTTGAGAGGCGGATAATAAACCGGCGGCATTTTTGCAACAACAAAACAGTGCGGCCGGTTGAGTAAGAACTTTCATTGTATTACTAAGTTGCAAGCTTTTACTGCTGCATTTAGCGCAATGACTTTGCACTTTACACAAACTGTTTATGTACGTATTACATTGTATCGAGTTTTTTATGTCTGCTTACAATGTATCATGTGTATCTAAATACTTATGGTACCTTTACCATGAGTGAGTTATTTTACTTTGAAATCGCCCATTTATTAAGTACTTTCTTTCTTTCTTTCATTCTTTATTGTTGTTTTAAATTAGATTAATTTAATATTATAGACATTATTAAGTATGTATGTGACATTATCAAATGACGTGTGAAAGAAAAAAAAATTGAAAAAACGTAATAATTTGACGAAAACAAGTTAGCGTGACAGTTACATAAATTATTCCTGGTTATTAAAGTTACTTGCTAATCGTAATGTGTAGTGAATTCATCAAATTAATTCCATAGAAGAAAACAATTGGTTTAGGTACAATTTTCCTACTGGAAGACAAGTCCTACGAACATATGGGATTAATCTGTATTTACTAAGGCTTCTCTTATTAGGACAGGGATTGATGTAGTCCTGATGTGGATACTCAATTTTTGAACCCTTTTACGGCCGACCCTGTTTAACAAATTCGGATCCAGTGTGGTGTGTTTTATGGTTTATGTTGTTGATGTGGTTTTTAAGAAATTCGTATTTTATTTTAAACCATCTAAAATATTTTTTCGAATGTCTTAATCACACAATGGGTGTGTAGCACATAAATATTCCCGTGGATGTGAAAATAATAAAGCAACTAACCTTTAGACATGATTATATGTTACCAACGGAGCAGATGGCCCGTTGATTGGATTCTTCACATTAACAATATGTTGCGGCTTTCGACACGCAAAAACATAAATAGATTATTTTGAACACATCATGAAACCTCTGCTATTTGGTAGCACATGAGTATCGCGTTTAATAAATACTAAAAAGCATGAGAATTGTTTGCAATCTGAATGATGCAGAAAGAGTCTTCGTTGTAATAATTAAAATTACTTAAACGATTAACTTCTCAGGATTTCTTGCTTTGTCCTTTGTAAGGTGTATATTTTTTCAATGGAAAGCAATGATTCACTTATCGTTTGGTTATGGATGGATTGTCAACGAGATATTTGGCATATCATCAACTTTATGTAACCGTATTTAGGGAATAAGAGTAGTAGAACAGAAGGCGCAACCGAAGCCAACAAGGAAAAAGAGCTGTAGGTGGGTAAAATACCTTCCGAAACGTGGGTCATCTTGTGATACATGATAAGTTAGTTTGAGACATTTAAGAAGCGGAAATAGGAGCACAGAAGAAAAGAAGGTAGTAACCGAAGTCAACAAGGAAAAGGAGTTGTAGGTGGGTAAAATACCTTCTGAGACGTGGGACATCTTGTGAGAAATGGTAAGTTAGTTTGAGACATTTAAAAAGCGGAAATAGGACCACAGAAGCGAAGAAGGTATAAACCGAAGTCAACAAGGAAAAAGAGCTGTAGGTGGGTAAAATACCTTCTGAGACGCGGGACATCTTGTGATACATGATAAGTTAGTTTGAGACATTTAAGAAGCGGAAATAGGAGCACAGAAGCGAAGAAGGTATAAACAGAAGTCGACAAGGAAAAAGAGTTGTAGGAGGGTAAAATACCTTCTGCGACGTGGAACATCTTGTAAGATGTGATAAGTTATTTTGAGACATCTAAGAAGCGGAAATAGGACCACAAAAGCAAAGAAGGTAGCAACCGAAGTCAACAAGGAAAAGGAGTTGTAGGTGGGTAAAATACCTTCTGAGACGTGGGACATCTTGTGAGAAATGGTAAGTTAGTTTGAGACATTTAAAAAGCGGAAATAGGACCACAGAAGCGAAGAAGGTATAAACCGAAGTCAACAAGGAAAAAGAGCTGTAGGTGGGTAAAATACCTTCTGAGACGTGGAACATCTTCCGATGATGATGAAGCTTTCAAAGTGTGACATATTTAAGTTGTTGTGCGTCAGAATTTCTAATTTCGGTAGGCTTCTCTGATGTAGCAAGTCAACTACATGGTTTGAATTTGTATTTCGTTTTAAGCGTCCAAGGCTATCTATTTTATTTAGTGACAAAACGAATAAAGCCATAAAACTGACCAATCGACCGTTAAAATCTATAATCCCCACTTGAAGCACTACTGCAACAATATTGCATACATGTGTATAGTAATTATAGTGGACGCTGTTTGATTGGTTTGCAGACCAAAACAGGTTCAGGTTTCATTTCTCCGTTGCATAATGATTTCTTCTTAATTTAATATATTGCTTTGCGATATCTCAATACACTGTTTTTATCATTAATAAGAGATTATCTTCTTTTGTTGGAGACTTCGCACGCGAGAAATTCCAGTTAAATTGTTCGTTCATTATTTTATTTTAATAATAAATGTTGCAAATGAAATTGAGTTTTCGGTATTAGGTTGAATTGAAGTTAAATGTGTCAACTGGTTAGTTTCACTAAAAGGTTAATTAAAGTTGTGATGACTGTTATTATTAAAAGTAGCTGTCTTACTACTTACTGAGTCAAAACAGGTTTTAGATTTGACAAGTATTTTTAGTTTAACTCGAGTGCAGATATTGCATTGAACAGGAGCACAGAAGACGATATGGAAGTTAACAAGGAATAAACGTGATAGACTGGTAGGACTCCTTATGAGACATGAAGGGCAAAATAAAAGTGAACTAAAATGAATCACTTGGTTTTCATTGAAGTTTGTATTGAATTTTTGATGCGTTTCGCCTTTATTATCAAAAGTTGCACTCAGATTTCCTGTAAAATTGAAGTTTCAACTTGAATTGAATGTACTGAAGTTTTTTCACAAATGCGCACCTGGTACCTATCACTGAGTCAAAACAGGTTTTAGATTTGACGAATATTTTTAGTTAAAATCAAGTGCAGGTATTAGAACGAACAGGAGCACAGAAGACGACATCGAAGTTAATAAGGAATAGACGTGATAGGCTGGTAGGACAATTTTTCAGACATGAAGCGCAAAATAAAGGTGAAGTAAAATGAATCACTTGGTTTTCATTGAAGTGTTTATTCAATTTTTGATGCGTTTCGACTAGTTTCGACGTAGTTTTTTTTACATATGAGAGTCTGATACCTACTACTTACTGAGTCAAAATAGCTTTTAGACATGATAAGTATTTTTAGTTTAAATGAAGTGTAAGTGTTAGAAATAACAGGAGCACAGGACATGTTATGGAATTTAGTAAGGAATAGACGTGATAGGCTGGTAGGACACTTTGTCAGGCATGAAGGGCTACTTAGAGATGTATTCTTAGAGGCAGAAACAGGAGTTAAAAAGCAGAGGTATACACGGGGATTGAAGAGATAGAAAAGAGTGGAGGTGCGTGTCCAACCAGTCGTAGTATTAAGGATCTTATGACGATGCTGATGATGATGATGATGGTGATAAACAGTGTTTCTTTTTTCTGTAAAGTGGCAGTGTCGGTTAAACCTCTTGTAGATGACAACTGGTAGAGTAGAAGACTACAACTAGTATACTGAGCCGCTTACACCATTGCTCTACTTACTACAGCTACTACTCCTACTACTACTACTCCTACTACTACTACGCCGCTTTCGTAGTCTCATTCTCGTCGTAGTAGACGGCTGCATCGGCTGCCGTCGCAGTTTTAATTCATCACTTCGATCTCCCTTCTCTTTTCAAATTCAGTCGTGTCCTCGTCTGGAATGCATTTGTCTTGGCGCATCGACTCCGTACAATCGTACCTTCGGGGAGCACACGGCCAGCTATTGGCTGCTTCCGTTCAAAACAAACGACGCGTCGCGTCGGTTTCGATCCACGCTGCGAACGCCTGAAATTCGGTTCAGTGATTCAGTGTTTAGTTGTTTGTGAGACTTCGAACGGTTTGAGCTGTATCGCTCGCGTTCTAAAAAATTGTTATTGTTGATGCATATAAATAATCGAAATTAGGGAGACGTGAGAGTTTCAAACGTACGTTTTATGGTGAGTGTTGCTATTCAGTGACGAAACTGTTTTCGGAAACTGAGAGTAAGTTTTGTGTTTCGGCTACACCTAAAATCGTGTGTTGTTTACCTATTTTACGTGCTGAAACTGGAATTGTGTCTATTTGATGTGTGTAAAACATTAACTTTTTAACATTAGATACAGTAAGGATTGTCTATCGTTCTCAGATAAGAATTTATTATTAAGGTGAGTTGAAAGTTACAGGTATAGTGGATGCTGACGATTTTTTGCCAATAAACAACGATGCACGACTCGTTTGTTATTGATGTCGGCGTGCTGTAGGTATGGTTGTAAATAATTTAATTGTCATTGAAACTTCAAAGAAATACTTGTCGATGTCGTACTTATGCGTATGCATATACTTATAACAACTGATTCTTGAAACTTATTGGGACAGGCGCTCGTTTATATTTTGTTTACTTTCGAAGCAATTGACCCGCTACCTATTTTTTTCATGCTCTCCGCGTAACATGTGGCACTATATTTGTCGCTGAGCCTAAAATTAAGTTCAGTTATTTTCGAATTGTACGATTTTATACCTGTGCACTATTTTGCGAGCCTGGTACCTTTTTTTTGCGAAAACGTCTCTCTCGTGAACATCCACACGTCTCGTTCAGCCTTTTATCTCTGTAACCTTTTTTTTTGCAATGCTACACTTTTTGTCACTTTCGCCTTTCTCGCTCGAAGCATCTACGCTGCTTTTAATCGATTGTTTGTTTTTGTGCTTCAAGAATTTATGCGTCTAGTCGTTATACGAGTGGTGTTTCAAAATCTTTTACCGAAATGTGCAAACTGAAAAGCTCATGAATACGGGAGCCCTTGATTTAAGATTTCGCAGTCAACTGGGAACTTTTGTGATTTCAAACTCTTTCATGTAAATTGAAAACTCCATTGATACGAATTGTTAACACAGTTATTATTTATTTTCTTTTTCGAGTGCTACTAATCGGGTGTTTGTTATTTGGTTCGGCCATGATGCAATAAAGCGACGGTGTTACCCGGGCGTGTGTTTCACATTGTAAAAGGAAGGTCGTAGATATTTTAACCGCACCTTTGTAGCGTTTTAAGCATAATGTTTATAATTGTCTACTACCTATAATTAACTGAAAAAAACCGTTAATTTCTAACAATCCGAAGAACGAAAACCAGATAAGGTAGAACCTGTTAAGCCTGTGAATATCCTATTTCAACCCTTCAACTGTAGGTCTTATTTAGTCATATATTTGGCCCTACCTGAACCTTTTTATGAATTGCCCTATTAAGACTGATGATGCCTCATTTCAACCTTTTAACAGTATGCTTTATTTAGTCTGATCTGGTCCTAATGTGGACAATACATCGTAGCCCTATTCGGACGAAGTCTCCTTGCCTATTTAGGTCAAAGGATGTAGTCTAATCGGGGCTACGCAGGGCAGCCGAAAATCCGCACCGAGTCTGATTACCTGATTAGACCCAAATATTTTAAGACGATATATTTTTAACCCGGCTCATTTAGATAACTTGATCACGGTCAAAGGATGTAGTCTAATCGGGGCTACGCAGGGCAGCCGAAAATCCGGACCGAGTCTGATTACCTGATTAGACCCAAATATTTTAAGACGATATATTTTTAACCCGGCTCATTTAGATAATTTGATCACGGTCAAAGGATGTAGTCTAATCGGGGCTACGCAGGGCAGTCGAAAATCCGGGCCGAGTCTGATTACTTGATTAAACCCAAATGTTTTAAGACGTTACACTTTTGACCCGGCTCATTCAGATAACTTGATCAGGGCCAAATGGTATAATCTAACCAGGGCCACACAGGGGTAGCTCTATATCTGGACTCAGTCTGGTTGTCTGGCTAGATCAAATGGTTTGAGGCGTTACATTTTTGCCCTCAGCTTATTCCGATGACCTGATCAAAGCCAAATGATGTAACCTAATCAGGACTACACATGGTAGCCCGGTGTGGCCTTATATTTGGACTAGGTCTCGTGTGTAATTTCTTTTTAAATTTCCTCGTCGACAGATAATTTATGTTATTATTGTTTGCCACACCAAATAACAATTGGCAGATAAATTCTATTGTAGGAACAAACTGAATGTTGCGTGTGTCAGTGAATGGAGTTTTGTTTACAGATGAAAAGCGCTCCTGATTTTCCTGTTTTTTTTTTCGTTATTGTATTGTATAATTGTCCTTATTGTCTAGAGAAAAATCTAGCAAACGTAGTCGGTATGGCGGCGCTGGCGTCGTCCTCCTTGCCGCCTGGCTTCCCTCGACCCAAATGAAAATTATAGTGACGAGGCACTTTCGCACCCCCGACTGACGCGTCCCGCGTCGTTCCCCCGAAATCTGGGGCAAAGGATCTTCTATATATACATAATGACGGGTATTTATGTACGTGCATTTATCACTCGTCCTATTTCTCTCTTTTTTTTCTGTGAGGCACTTTTTTGAACGTCTGTTATTATTTTCTAAATGTAGAGACTCTGATATACGTATATGCATCGCAATAGCATTTTTTTATTGTTGTTATTATTATTCAATTGTTCATTGTTATTATTTCAATTTCAACCAACCCCTTGGCGAAAACAACTCTAAATGAAGAGGTATTAAGATATAAGGTAAATGTCTAGATGGTGGTGGGTGGGATCGAAAGAGGAGGTCGCCCCCACCACTGTACCATAAAAAGTTCGTGGCGGTCTTACCCCCATAAAAAGTTATGGGGGTTAGATGTGGGTGGGGGTAGGGGGGATCGAAAGAGGGTGGACACCTGAGTAAAACCCCATAAAAAATTTGCGACTGTCTCAGCCCCATAAAAAGTTATGGGGGTTGAAAGTTGATTATTTTGACAATTTTCATACACTATAATTCAAATAAAATTCAATAAAAAAAATATTTTCAAGCGGGTGGAGGTGGGGGATCGAAAGAGGGTGGTCACTTGAACAAAACCCGATAACCTAACCTAACCTAATCTACCCTATTGATAATGATATTTAAATGATGTTTTATATAACTTTCTCAATATTTTTATGTATTTTTCATTAGTTTTACCTTTGAATATTGTTTAAGTTTGACTATATAAATATTTACATGCCTAGAAATTTATAAAAATTGGCATATTTACTAACTTTGAACCCCCATAACTTTTTATGGGGGTGAGAACGCCACGAACTTTTTATGGTACAGTGGTGGAGGAGACCTCCTCTTTCGATCCTCCCACCCCTAACCTCGAAGGGGGTGGGGGCCATCATCTAGACCTTTACCAGAGATAATTTTAGACGTTATGAATTTCACTTAAATTTTGCAGTAAAACTTTGTTTTATTTGGTGTATATGTGACGGTGAAGTACAGAACCTCAAGGGCTATTGTGTACTCCTGTACGATAAGCGGTTTTTGATAATATTTTCGGGCCTATATGTACCTACATATTTTCTATAACATTAAAATTCAATTTATTATTCAAACAGAATTGTTAATCTACATAATAATACATGCTACAGTTGTTAGCTTATCTTGCGCGTGGTTTATTGTCGTCAGTTGTCGGTAAACGCGACCATGACTTTGACCTTGTTCAAAACAATTATCATTTCTATTGTGTTTGTTGGTTTATTTTAAAAAGAAACCATTATAGAGGCATTTCAAAAAGAAAACACTAACTGGACGACGTTGGTGGCAATTTTTGTTTAACTACAACTACTTATTAAATACTCGAACAATCGCAAAACAAATTGAAAAATCTGTCTGACAGAAAGATGTACGTTAAATTGTTTTTGTGCTTAAAAAATATGCAAATTTTAAATTCGAAAAGATGTGATGCTAATGTTAGGATTGTTAATTACTTTACGCCTTTTGATTAAGTGGCAATATGGGTCCTTTTGAAAGTTCTCAGAAATGATAAATTAGCACCGTAAATTGTTCCAAAAAACGACGAAAAAAGGCCCGTTTGCAGGACTAAACCTCCGAAATAGCGCCGAAATAGTACTAAAATAGCACCGCATTTCAGTAAACCGCCAAAAAAGCACCGAAAAACCGCCGTTTTTCTACTAAAAGATCGTTAGAACAGTACTCTTCTCGCATGAAAAACCGCCAAAAAAGCACCGAAAAACCGCCGTTTTTCTACTAAAAGAGCGTTGGAACAGTACTCTTCTCGCATGAAATAACAAAAACTGATTAATTATTAATTAACTTTTATTTATGTTATAAAGTATTAAAGATTCTGAATATTGTAACAACTATCATTATTATTTGAACTATTATTACTATTGTTAATATTATGATTAATGTTATTATTACTTATTTTATTATTGCTATTTTCATAATAATTATGTGGCTGTGCATTATATTGTTGATGATACGGCTGATAATAATTTGGGTTCGGATAATTATAATATTCATGATAATTTGAATACTGCGGAGGTACATGATGTAGGTTAAATGGAACGCTGTATGGCGATGGATATGAAAAATTTAATTGATTAGGATCATTAGGTGCAGGATAAGTAAAATTTGGAGATGTATGTTTTAATGATGATGTTGGTGTTGGTTCTGATGATGATGTGGGTGCTAGTTCTGATGATGATGCTGGTGCTGGTTCTGATGATGACGGTGGTGATGGTTCTGATGATGACGGTGGTGCTAGTTCTGATGATGACGGTGGTACTCGTTCTAAAGATGNTTCAAAAGTTATCCTACTGACATTAAAGTTAGTATACGTAATAATGCCCTCTAAATTATGACCTTCTTTCGGAAATGTAATATTTAAATTTTCAAAAGTCTGAGAAGTATTGTACATTTAAAAGAGAATATAAATATATGTATATTCATAAACATTAATATAAAATTTTTTTTACGACAAAAACCATCACTAACTATATCCTTATATCAATTTTAATTGATAAAAGTTATTAAATACTTTATGAATAAATTAATAATCCATAATCATTATTTTTGTATCTTGTGCTGTGTAGGAAGCCGTTTTCGGTGCTATTTTGGCGGTTTTTCGGTCGTTCTTGTAGACAGCCGTTTTCGGTGCTATTTCAGTGGTTTTTCGGTCGTTTTTGTAGGCAGCCGTTTTCGGTGCTATTTCGGTGCTTTTTCGGTCGTTTTAATAGAGGTATTTTGGTCGCATTTTAGAGTTTTTAATTTTTGTCGTATTCACCGGCGCTATTTCGGTGGTAAAATAGTAGTTTTTAGACATTTG